CGATGATGACAGCACTTTATGAAGCTCAACGGTTGACTAATGAAAGAGGTCAGGCAAAAGTGGTTTTTACCAGTGATCAGCAGCTTTACAAGGTAGCTGTAGATGTAAAATGGACTTATCCAAACCAATTCTCCAATGTTATTTTACGTCTTGGAGGAATGCACATGTTAATGAGTTTTGCTGGTGCAGTTAGATCACTCATGGGAGGTTCAGGCCTTTCTGAAATTTTGTCAAGCACATTTGCTGTGGTACCAAAAATGCTTATTGGCAAAAAATTTCCACAAAATGTCAGGGCAATGAGGCTTGTGGTAGAGGAAATGCTGAAAAACATCCTGAAACATGAAGATTTAGACAGCATGAAAGATCTATTAGAGTACCTTGATGCTGCAGCACAAAACAGCAAAACATGTAAGCTCTGGGTCAACTGTTTTATAAAGCCTGTGTTCCTGATGATGCTCTACGTTCGAGCTGAGCGTGAAGGTGACTGGCCACTGCATCTTGCCGCTGTGAAGAGAATGTTACCATACTTTTTTGCGTCGGGCCATGTCAATTATGCCCGATATGGACTCTACTACCTCCGCTCTATGGAGTCTTTACAGGAAGAGGAGTTGTCAATGTTCTTGAAGGGAGAGCATGTAATGCACCATGTTCCAGGACTATGGAATGGCATTTGGAGCGACATGTATATCGCAACCACTTTCATGCGATATGGTCATGGTCCTGGTGGCATTATTGGAGTTGAAACGCTGAAGACATGGGCCCTCGGTCTACATGTATGCTGTCAACTTGAACAAGACACCGCAAATTTAATATCTAACGATCAAGATGAATAAGAAAAAAAGTCAAGGATAAAATCAGATGGAGCTGACAGAGAAAGCCTTTCAAAAAAAATTGAGCTGTGCATTGACCCTCTTAATCCAGCGTCTCATTCATCTTCTCTTTTGAACATTGTCAGTGGTCAAATCGCAAACGATACTGTAAATGCTCACAATGCGGTAGAAATTGATACAAAGCAGATGAAAGAGCACGAGGCTGGTTGGCCAGATAAGTTCAACGATACTATTTCCAAGCGCGTTACAACTATATCAAAATTGGCACCAAGAAGATCTTTGACACTTCAGTGATTTACAGCCGTGTGATAGGCATTCAAGCAAGCTCAAGAGACATTGATATCGCAAATGTTTTAAGCCACGAGCTGGCTCCTGTTTCAACGTCAATGTTTGATGATTCAGGTGTATTAAGAATTTGCAAGTCAAAGTCAGACCTGAAGAATCGTCTCTTGAGAGAATCGTCCTCGAGAAGTGCGCTTTTGTCAGTTTCTACAACAGTCTTAGATGGCTCTGCGGTTTTGTGGGTCGTACATTGGCCAGCTACGGGGGTTATCGCTGATTATGTGGATAACTTCAAGAAGTTCCTCGAAAGGAAGCTGCTGGATAGCGATGTTTACCTTGTTTTTGATAGATATAGAGAATATAGCACAAAGAGCGTAACTAGACAGGTGAGAGAATGCGAAGCCAGTAGACCATACCAGTTGACAGATAGTATGCCTCTTCCATCACAGAAAGCTGTCCTCACCGTATCTTCAAATAAACAGCATGTCTATAATTTGCAAGGATATAATCAGTGATGAAGCATTCTGCTCAACAGCACATCAAGAAACAAACTGGTTATCACAAGTAGCACTGATACCCCTACTGAAATCTATATGGGAGTTGTCATAGAAAGACGAGATATCTCAACAACGCACGAAGAAGCGGATAACATCATAGTGCAGCAAGCTGTCATGTGCGCTAAAAACCAATCTGATACTATTCTGGTTGTTGCCGATGACACAGATGTCTTTATTCTACTTCTTTATCACTATCTACAGGAGAAGCTTACTTGTCCATTGTATATGACTTCTCCAATTCAGCAAAGGTCAATCATTGACATTAAAGCCACTGTTCATGCCCATCTACCAATCATTCCTAATTTACTTGCCGCTCATSCTCTATCTGGCTGCGATACTGTTGCCAGTTACCATGGAATTGGTAAATCAAGTGCATTGAAGCATCTTCTTGCTTTTCCTGACTCTTTGAAAACGATGGGTTGCCTTGATGCTGAGTTTTGTGATGTTATTGACCAGTCCACGGAGTTTGTTGGTGCCTGCTACAGCAGTAAAGTCAAAGGGAAGACAATGTCCGCCATGAGATACAAACTCTGGGCATCCAAGTTTGGAAGTGGTGCTACTACTGCTCATAAGATCCAGTCACTTCCACCATCAACAGAGGCGTTCGTTGAAAACGTCAAGCGGGCTCATCTTCAAACAGTAATTTGGAAACATGCCACCTCACTTGATCCGCCTAATCTTGATCCTCAAGATTATGGGTACATACGAGACGAGTCATCAAAGACACTTCTACCCACCACAGTTCCATTAGAACCAGAGAGCGTCATGAAATTGATTAAATGTAATTGCAGTGGCGAGGGCAGTTGTAGCCGTTCAAAATTACCCTGCACTCTGTTTTGTAACTGTGACGCCACGAACAAATGTCTAAATGAACTAACAAAAACAGTCTCTGACTAGAATACCATATCATATGCAATTGTTGGTACATGTATGTTTGTATGCTTATAAAATCAAAACTGGGCAGTGGCTAGACTTAGCTTGGAGCCGGTCTAGAATGGAGAAGTAAGGCGTCTTCTTCCCTCAACTAGTCTGGGTGCTCACCATGGGCAAGTGACAGTACACCCCCAGCCTCCTTTTGCCAAGGTAACGGCTCAGACTGGCAGTTCTACATTTACTTTTATGTCCTATTATCGCAAGTGATTGTACATGATTGTATATATGATATATCATATGTATTCTATATATCTAAAGATTTGGGGTAAGTTTTATTCTATTACGTCATCAATGCCATACCCACCCTGAAATGTGTAATTTCAAAATCTTAAATTTCAAATGAAGTTGAGTTTATCAATGTTAGAAACATGTTTTCAAGATAATTTCATTAAAAAGTTAAAGAAAGCGATGATCCTGTGTACTACTATGGCATAAATTTGATTTTTGATTACACACATGTCTTCAATACGAATTCGTCAAAAAACATTGTATGGACGCAATTTCCAGGTGGTGTCACCTGGCTGCCGGACTATTGCAGGCATTCACGATGTTAACGACCAAAACCTAGTAGACGAAATAATCGTTGGATCAGCAGACGTTAAAGCACTATATCCCAGCCTTGATATAGATTTTGCAGTTGGAAAGGTTTGTGAAGTGTTCTACGACAGCACCGTCAGTGTGAGTAGGRTAGATATTGATGAGTTAGGACTTTACTTTGCACTTAACTCAGAGAGGCAGTATCTGGAAGAAAAAGGAATCGGCGAGTACTGCCCTACACGAAGAACCAACAAGGGTAGGCATCCTGTGATCACAGGCTGTGCCTCGGARGAGGATAAGGTGAAACGGTTTTCAAGATGGAATCATGCTATCACGAGACCTGATGGCACAACAACCAGAGCTATGCTGACAGAGGCCTTAAGGATTGCTCTCCTTTTTATGAAAAATCACGTATGATGTTATATACCGCCAAAAGAAGGGGGGTCCTATAGGTCTCGAGCTAACTGGTGTTATATCCC